AGCTGTCAGGGAAACTGTGCCACCATTGCCTGAAAGAAAAGGAACACATGGTAGAGAAGGGAATCACTACCTAAAAAGGACAGTGCCCTCCTTCCAACAACCACAAAGTAACAAGACGGCTCTGACGATTTCTAGGTGCTGTGTGATAGCTGATATATAGATTGCTAGTTGAGAACGATATCAACTGAGTTTGCGCTGACTTTGTTGCTGAGAAGCGCTGTTAGGCACTTGGCTGTCTGCAGGAGCTATATGACACAAAGGTCACTCCACAGATTCGCAAAGGAAACGGGTTCATTTGGTACTTACTGTTTCTTGCTTTTGGCTCCTGTCACCTGTCTTTTAAAGGAAAAGGAAAGGGAAAGCGAAAAGGAAAGGGAAAAGGAAAAGAGAAAAAAAAAAGGAAAAGAAAAGTCAAAAAGGAAAAGTGAAAAAGTACAAAACAAAAGGAAAAGGGACAAGGGAAAGGAAAAGTGAGAAAGGCAAAACAAAAGGAAAAGGGAAAAGGGGAGGGAAAAGGAAAAGGAAAAAGGAAAAGTAAAAGGAAATGGAAAAGAAAAAAGCAAAAGGAAAAGAAAGGGACAGGTTAAGAGAAAGGATAAGGAAAAGGAAAAGGGAAGGCGAAGGGAAAAGGAAAAGGAACAAAGGTAGACTAACATTTTGGAGAAATGACGCTTTAGATTTTGCAGTATCTGCCGCAGATAAGTTGTTTTGATTTTAACATGTGCTGGTGTTGACTGATTTTGAAATCATTGTGTTGGGGATTTGCTGGTCTTTGCAGCACATACGTAAGCGTTTTTGAGTTTCCAGTCATAATTTCACTTGGGAACCTGACATGCCTGCATGTCCAGCAAATTGGAAGCTTTGGCGGCAGGTGTTCTTGAACTTTTTGCTAATTGACAACACGAAAGTTCACATTTGGTTGTGTTCACAGGAAATGTCATGCTTTGAGTTTCAGATTCACTGCGATCAACTTGGAAGATTAGCTTGGAAGCTTTAAGTTGCGGATCTTAAGATTTTTCTAAAAGCCAACAATGCCAGCCACACCAAAGGCCAACAAAAGCCCTTTTGGCTGCTGTCTTATAAAGGAAAGGGAAAGGGAAAGGGAAAGGGAAAAGCTGGGGCCTCTGCAGGGTGCAAATGCAATAACAAAACTAAAGCCATGAAAAGGCAACAATGCCAACCACGCCAAAGGCAACAAAAGCCAAAAGCCTGAGAAAACCTTGGAAATCCTTGTCTTCTCAGCAAAATGCAAAAATGAAAAGTTTTCTTCAGAACACATACGTCAGAAAAAACTTTGAACATTCTTTGGTTTTCTAAAGAAAGATAAGAAAAACTTGGGACATCTTGTGATTTTCTTAAAGCTACCAAAAGCCAAAAGCTACCAAAAGCCAAAAACTACCAAAAAACAAAAGCCACCAAAAGCCACAAGCCAGCAAGAGCCAAAAGCCACCGAAAAGAGTATATACATTAATTCCAAAATAAGACATCCAAAAGAAAATTACCCTCCAAGGGAAAACGTATGCGAACTCAAATAGGCTGTGACTCAATTCAAGGGTGCCCCAAGGAACAACTCAGAAAGAGGATGGAATTTCAATGAATTGAATTTAGATGCTGCGCAGCGTGATTCTCGTTGGCTCATACACACAAAGAGAGCTGAGGCCCTTGCCTTTGACGGGCCGCCAATGAATCTCGCCATCTTCGTGGTTGCCGGCTCGCATGTACTCCACGATCCAGTAGTCGCTGACGCTGCCACGGTCACGTGGGCCAGCAGATAAAAGCAAAGCTGAATGGGCAAACATGGCAACTTTCGGCACACAAATTGGAATCGGACCTGGTGTGCACACATCAAGTGCACGACGAATCACAAAGACCCGCTGCACAAACTCATTGGAGATGCCATTCATGACGCTAGCAATCCTGTCAGCCAGGGACGCACCAGGTCCAATCTGGCCCTTGATCGGCGACGATGCTGCAACGCCGTTCTTGACCAAAGTGGGCAATCTTGGCGGGTGGAGGAGGAGGAATGCGCTCGAATTGAGGGCTGCCTGAGAGTACGTAGCCGAAGCATGCGCAGTCAGCGCCACAAAACCGGCCAAGAGCTTCAAAGCCATTACAGGCTCACTTCCAGCCAAATATCCGGAACCTATCGTCGCGAGGCTTGAGCAAATGCTGGGTTAGATCATTCCTCTGTGCTCTTCCAACTGGCAAGCTCAAGGTGAACGACCTGCAAAGCTGGTGAGGTCTTCATTCATGAACTGATCTTCAGAGCCTTTGGTCCAGGTGTGTCCAAGGACCTGTTGCTCGTTGACATCTGGGCATCCCTGCGGACCCAAACTATGTCGAGTAAGACCAAGCAGGAACAGACCTTTTGTCTGCGCAAAACCGGAATCCTACTGCTACAACAGTCCTTCACCGTTGACAAGAATGTCTGCCAAGAGTTGACTCAAACGCCACTCGTTGGTTGTAAAGGGCGTCTGAATGTTCATTCATGAACAAGAATAGTTTCCCTGAATTCTTCATCAGTATCTTCATGGGTGGCCTTCACGCACGACCTTGTTTGCTCCATCTTCGACAAACACCTTGCCGTTGCAAATGATGCCGCTACACTTAGGCTTGCATCACCAACTGACCCCGAAAAATGCAGAAAGTAAAGGCACAATTCAGTTTCTGGGGTCTACTCACACGCGTCTCCGTCTGTCCCTCCACACCGTGTAGATATCTCACTTCGTTCACAAAAACTAACTACAGCCTCTTGTAAATTTCCGCCGCATCTTTCCCATCAGGTATACCATGGAATTCTACTTTTTGCAAGCTGGGCACTCCAACCTTGAAGCACAAAGTTCGCTTCGGTGCTTGCAACCCTCGCCTAGGGGCCTATTGGATCATGTCAGAACAAATTGTGTGGTTCCTTGAGACCTGCCCGCCACGACTACTTCATCCCAGTTTTCCTAAACAGACCCAGGCACCCAAAGTTCTCGACCCTTTGCCTCCTTCGCCCGACTCCAGCACAACTACCTGTACCTCAAGTCTCCACTCCTCTCATATTGTAGCAATGTCATCATCCTCATACCACATATCCTTCGCTTACAACTTTGAGATGCTCTTTCCGTTTGGGGGTGAACCAACCTGATGACATAGAAACTGCAACTGGTATGTGAAGACGCAGCTCCAGTTTCCAGGGAAGGAGCTCACATGTTCACGCACATATTGAAAATGACCAGCTCTCTCAATTCAAAGCTGCTTGACTAAGCCGACCAAACTGAGAATGGCTCGATTGAATCGCCAGACTTCCATCTGTGTGCTCCAATGCTGAACAATACCACCTCCAGGATCAAGTACCATCCACAAGGCTTAGTCAACCCACTGGGCTTCAGGCAGACGGGAAGTACATCATGACCTCAGCCAATTTACTTGGTCGCGGCTTCCAGGGTTTTAACATGGCAGCCAAAACAATTTTGCCAAGATTGCACATGGTGAGTTATTGTAGAGACAGCTTTGTGCATCTCTGCAATTTCTCGCCCAGCCTTCCTGCAGGTTCTGCAGGATGAGATGATGGGTGCGTCCTACAGCGTGGATGTCTCCTCTTTCTCAGCGATTCTTGCTCCAGGCCACACAGAGTTGGTGCTTGTTCGGCTGGTCATGGCAAAATGTGCCAACGACAGGACAGGGATTGCATGGGCAGTGCCTGCAGCCAGTGCCGCTGAGAACCCGCGCTTTTGCACTTGTGCCATCCGGCAATGGCACTTCTTTCTTTTCCTCGAGCATCTGCTTGACCAGGTTTGTGGCGATACTGGTACCAGCCGCGTCTTTCAGCAACTCCACTGCTACTGGAACGCAAAGATGAGGGGCTGCAACACAGCTGATGACCAAGGCACCAACGTCAGTGACCGACACTTCCTTGCCACAAACGCACGCACCCCAGTTTTTGCAGAACTCGTCCCTTCCAGACCAGTCACAGCCAGAAGTGGAGATGTTGGAGTCAGCGGACGATGACAGAAATTCAGTCTCATTGCCTTGAGTAGACACTGTGGAGTTGAAGGAGATCTCATCCTTGGCAATCAGGACATCCCGCTTCGCAGCACGCAGCTGCTTCATCATCAACCCACAGTCTCCACCATCGGCTGCGCAAGCGTCCAGGACTGTTTCCACGTCGTCGGCACTCACGACAACCAAGAGAATCCAACGGATGAAATGCGGGAAGTTGAAAGCCATGGTCTGCGCAAAATGGCGATCCGTTCAACAATCACAGGGCAGTGCCGAAGCGGCCAGGTTTGAGCAATGGCTGCACCAATTGTTTGTTCCAAGAAAATGCAGAGAACCAAACAAAGCAACACATGACCAAACTGCCCAATCATTCATCTGTCTGGAACTGACATCTCCACTACGTCTTTCAAGGGGTTGTCTCTTGTCAGGTGAAGCTGGAGAACAACATGCCAGCCGTATTGTCCCATTCAAACCCAAGCTGCATTTCACTTGCACTTTCAACCTGCCGGCCAACACGGCCGCTCAGATTTTGGCTTGAACCAGGCTTCGCCTGAAGTTGAGGTGCACCAGACCTTGGAAAATGTGAGCTACAGGTTCCTACCCCCAAGCATGTAACTTACGTTTTCGCACATCGTGCCCACAGTGCTGGTTGCAGCAGCATGTTTGCAACTGTGTAGCTAAAGTTGGCACGACTAGTTTGTAATCTGGTGCGACCACAGCCGCAGCCACATCACATCTCCTTTAGCGTTAGTCATACCGGACCCTTGACGCAAAGCATTCCCAGAAAGAACCATTGAACTTGTGTGTCCTGGTATGTTTTGTCTTGTCTGTCAGTTATCATTTGACTAGGGGCCTTGCTTTGGTTCTCTGGTTGTCATATGGTGCCTTTCGATTTCTTTGTAAATACCACTATTGTAAAGGCCTCTGAAAATGTAATTTACATGTTTGGAGGTGTCCCTTTCTTCATTCCTTCCTTTGTTGTGTCCTGTTTTCCTTTGGACCGTTCTTCCTTTTGTTTCCCATTCTTCCCAGATACCATTGGGTGAGAATCATTCACTGCAATTTACTGCTGGTTTCGATTATTTGCTATGTTTTCCACTGGTTTCCACTCTTTCTCGGTTACCAATTGACCGTAAGGGCCCTGCGTGGGCATTTAATTGACGTTTTTTTCCAGCATGCATCTTTACTTCTCTAGTTTTCATGGGTTGCCTTTTCGATTTGATAAGTGCCACTGTTGTAGAGGCCTCTGAAAATGTAGTTTACATTTTTTGAAGTTAATTCTTCCTTCATTCCCTCCTCTGCTTCCCTCTGTTCTTCCTTCTTTCTTGTCCTGTTTGTTCTCCCTACTGCGGCCTGATCTTTCGTTTTCTACAAGTTACAGCTTGGGGCGGGGGTGCCCATTTTTTGTAGATTTCAGGATCTACAAGATCGCAGTTTACCTTTGAAGAGGTAACATAATTGCAGGGTGGACCTCCCTACATGCAAGTTAAAATTTTCCCTTGCGCTTAGATCCCTTCTCGCTTTTGTAGAGATAGGGGGTGGTGATGCAGCTAATTTGGTTTCTCTTTACCTCTCTCCATTTCTCTCCGCTCGAACCTGTCTTTGCCACCACAGCGCGCGGCGCAGAACTTCTCAGACCCGCACACATGAAGCAACGCTCATCAAATGTCGATCAGACCATCCAGCCTCGTCAAGTTCGTGTTGCCGCGTCATTGATCTAGGTAGGGCTGGCGGTCATCCTTCCCGTACAAGAACAAAAACGGTCAGTGCTGAAGTAAAGTTTCGATGGGTTTCTGTGCCCCATCAGCTTGCAGCACTACTGGAAGGCCTTCCAAGGGATGTCTCAAGTCTGGTTTTGGTTAGAAACAAACTCGTGCCCAATATCAATATCACGCTGCGAATACGTGCTCTGTGTGTGCGTGGACATGCTTCTTCCGATAGGCCAAAAAGGAAAGCAAACATAGTCAGACATACATGATATTTGGCCATGGGTTTTCCATGTTTTCTTCCACCCCCACTCCTCTCCCAAACACAGCTCATGATGCTGAATACGCAGGGCGTGTGCAGGGCCACACGGTGCGACGAGCGCAAGAGACTGCTAGGTTCCACGGGTCCACGCTGCCATTTATGCTATTTTGCGCATCGGGCAGGGCCAGAGAAGTAAGTAGCAGCCTCCACGGAGGGCTGGAGCTAATCAAGCCCAGGCCTTCAGCGATGTCTTGCAATTAAGG